GCCATTCAACGCGAACTCCTCGTCGGCTGCCCCCATCAACATCTGATCGAGTTGTCCCATTGCGGCCGGAAGAGCGGCCTGACTGTCGATTGTCTGAACACAATCTTCGGACTGAAGTCCGAGGCCATTGAGGCCATTCAAATGGACTGCTCCTGGCTGGAATCGGGTGCACAAAGCCTCGCGGCCATGGCCATGGGCCGTTGCACCCACGTTCGCAGTCTCGTTCTGGGCAATTGCGACTTTTGGGACGTTGCCATTGAAGGCCTCGACTTGCCGCAGGTGCAGCGTTACATTGGCCTGGACCGTTGCCACAATTTGACCAACGAACAGGTGCTCGATATGGTTCGTCAATGTCCGCAGCTGCGAGAGTTCTATGTGGTTCAGGGTGCCCTGCTGACAGGTGAACTGCTGCATGGCATCTATCGCATGCGGATCGAAAATGATCCGGGCTACCCATTGACCTTCATACTGAGACACTGCACGAAACTCGTTGAGAGTTACAACACAATGGTGAGTGTGCCGCAAAGAGTCCATGGAGCACTTTTACAGATTCTTCTTGCAGTTCTCGGAGTATTGGGCCGGAAAGCAAGACATTGTCCGTGTTAAGCATGCTGAGGACGATATCAAGCCCATTGCCGATGTTCAATTATTCTTTCATGGCTACGTTCAGGTCGTCACTTCCTTGGAGGAGAACATGGAGATGTCGCAATATGATACAAGCGATGCCTGATCCAGAGTTTACACAGCGAATTTCGAGTTTAAGTAAACGAAATGCCTAAATAATACAGACAATGGCAGGCGACTGTCTTTCTTTTTTCTGTTTTCCATGATTTCTATTTGGACAGAGACTTTTCTTTGTTTTCTATTCACTTTTTATCCCAACAAATCACTTCATTTTGTGCAAATGCAAATTGAAAGTAATGCCAGGTGGTAGGACAGAGTGTGTGCCCTTTCCTGCCCTGCTCACATCAGTGAAATTTCATTTGCAACATGCCAAGAGGCCTCCACTCAAAAGTGGATCAATTCTTCAGTATCTGAAGCTATTTCGTAGCTTTTCCAAGTGAAGCAAGGATTATCTATTTATAATTATGATACTGATACCGTCTTTTAGTTCTTGTTAACATTTTATTCTTTGGCAGAGTCACGAGCTGTTCTAGTTTTTGCTATCTTACGGACATCTTACGGTCACCCCAGTAATCGCGTCAGTAAATTTAAAACTGTTGGCAAAAGACTGCTGCAGGTTCTTTGAAAAGAAACAATAAGTGCAATACATTCTTGTAATAATAATTAGCATGTGCTTTATCAGACATTTAATTAGTTGTTTTTAATAATTTATATGCACTGGGAATTCCCACAATTTCCACACCACTCACGCACTCCCTTCAGCGGAGTGGCGTGGCATGGAGTGGAGCGTCTGCCGTTTCTTTTATTCGTAGCTTAGTTTTTGTTCGGTAATATTAGAAAACGAAAACGAAAACGTTTTTAGCTGCTGCCAAACAATTGGCGAGCGCTGACAAGACTTTTTTTTTGGGTTGTAAGCTTATTTTTTCAGTGTGTGTCTGTGTCTGGCCCTTTTCGCACATTTCA